TTTGCGTTCTCGATGCGGATTACCTACTTGACCTGTAAAGATGGTTAATGAGTTGGTGATCCGTTAAAATGAAGGTGACTGCTTATCCGTCCGATACATAATAATTTTGTATGATTTTAATTAATTATTACTAGGCTTCGAATTTTATGTCGTTAAAAAATTAATAAAAGGAGACATTTTTAGGTCCTAAAATTGACGAATTAGCTTACATTAAAAAAATAATATTTAAAAAACAGATGAAACAAAACTTTATAGAAGCAAATATTTTGTGCTACAAACAAAAAAATTGGTCTAAAGAGTTTAGACAGTACTTCCCTCGCTGTCGGAAACTTGACGACTGCATGCCTATTGTGTTTTTTTCTCATTACATTTTTGTAGTGGGAATTTAAAAAAAAATTGCGATGACGTCATCAACATTTTTGCAAGGACACGTATATCAGTTGGGATAGATGTAGTGTAATACTAAGAATAAAATTATTATATTCTCAAATTTTCGGGAAAATGAATTGGGTCGTTTTGAATATTGATTTGTAATAATCAATAAAACAACGAAACAATTTACTCACGTATACGTGTCAGAGGCAACTGAAAATCGTGTATGTATAAACATTCTTAATTTAAGATGACAGGCGTAACAGCATACGTGAGAGTCAAACAGAGAAACTGTAAACAAAACGACCATCGGTTTTATTGCTTCGACTTCCGCTTATTATAGAAAACATTGGGTTTTATTTTAATTCTTGACGGTGAAATTCACAATTGGTTGATTATAAACATGTCTATTTCACATTCGCGGAACCAAGTGAGCGCATAAAACAAATGCAGGTCTGTAATGTTAAAGTCGATGTAAATAAGCGTGCTACCTTTATGTTTCAACCGAATTTTTCCTTTAAAAAATTTTGTGTCTACCAAATTGGGTTGGTTGGGATGTAATACTAATAATAAGTGTTGCCTTTAATTTAATCAATAAAATAAATTGACTTCATTAATTTTTTTGAACCACCTCTTAAGAAAATCTAAAAAATATGAATGGAATGATAAATCACAAGTACAAACTCATCATATTTTTTGCATTTTAGATAGGATTTATTCAGCAAAATTTAAGGGTGACGTCATCAATTTTTTTAGGAGGGATGAACAAATACATTTTGAACAAAAGTTTACCATGCTTATAATAACATTAAAATATTCCCAAGATTTCAAAGCATTCGGTTTTGTAATTCCTGATTAAATCGATAAAATAAATTCACGCCTTCATTAATTTTTTTGAGTCACCCTGCATATGCAAATCCAAAAATATGAATGGAATGATAAATCACAAGTACAAACTCATCATATTTTGTACATTTTAGATACGATTTATTCGGCAAACTTTTGAGCTGACGTCATCAGTTTTTTGTAGAAGATAACCAAATATATTTTGACTAAAAATTTATTATGCTCTTTATAACCTTAAAACATCTGCAAGATTTCAAAGCATTCGGTTTTGTAGTTCCTGATTAAATCAATAAAATAAATTTACGCATTCATTAATTTTTTTGAGTCACCCTGTATAAGCAAATCGAAAAAATTTGAATGGAATGATAAATCACAAGAAGAAACTCACCATATTTTGTACATTTTAGATAGGATTTATTCAGCAAAATTTTGTGGTGACGTCATAAATTTTTTAGGGGGGACGACCAAATACGTTTTGATCAAAAATTTACCATGCTTATGATAATTTTAAAATATCTTCAAGATTTCGAAGCATTCGGTTTTGTAGTTCCTGATTAAATCAATAAAATATATTTACACATTCATTAATTTTTTTGAGTCACCCTGTATATGCAAATCCAAAAAATATGAATGGAGTGATAGATCACAAGTACAGACTCATCATATTTTGTACATTTTAGATATGATTTATTCCACAAACTTTTGAGCTGACGTCATCAAGTTTTTGGAGGGGATAAGCAAATATTTTTTGACTAAAGATTTATGATGCTCTTTATAGCCTTAAAACATCTGCAACATTTCAAAGCATTCTGGTTAGCAGATTAAAAATTAAATTTCAAAATGTTGTTTTATAATTTTGATTTTTTTTCCAAAAATCTGGACGTTTCGGGTGAAAAGTCGATTCAGAGTTGTAAACTACATGTGTAGGACTATGTTATTTTATACAATTGAAAACCCATTTACTATGTACAATTTTGAAGTGACGTCATCGCATTAGTGGTGGGGATGATTAGACAAATTTTGGTTAGCGTTTTACCATCTACATGATATTCTTAATATAAGTACAAAATTTCACAACAATCGGTCGAGTACTTTCGGAGATTATCTGTCTAATAAAAATCCGGGAAGGCAGACGGACAGACGGACAGACGGACGGACAGACGGACAGACGGACAGACGGACAGACGGACAGACGGACAGACGGACGGACAGACGGAAATGGGAGACCTATTTCTTCGTCTTCTAGGGGTCATGAAAGATCGAGAAAACGTAAAAGTAGAGAGTCGGCCGACGGACTCGATTACAATACTTCCTTTGCTTACGCTCGGGAAGTAAAAAAATAGATTAAGTGAGAAATCCGAAAACTACAAATTTCAGAAACGTCAAAATTTGAAAAATAAAAAAATATTGAAGACCTGAAAAATCGAAAAATCTAAAATTTAAAATATTGAAAAGTTAAAATATCCTAAAACTGAAAAATGGAGAAATCCAAACATCAAAAAATCAAAAAAATAAAACTGAAAAATCAACGAATCGAGAAGTCGAAAATTTAAAAAATTGGAAAATTGAAAAATCGGATAAATCAAAAATCGAAACGTCGAAGAATCGAGAAACCGAAAAGCAAAAAATCGAAAAACCAACAAATCGAAACATTGTAAAATTCAAAAATTGAGGCATCGAGAAATCGAAAAATCAAAAGACAAAAAAATCGAGGAGTCGAAAAATCGAGAAGTCGAAAAATCAAAAAATTGAGAAACCGAAATAGGCCAAAATCGAAAAATCGAAAACTTAAATATGGAAAAATTGATAAAGCGAGAGATTGAATAATCAAAACATCGAAACATCCGAATCTCAATGAATTGAGATCTCAAAAAATTTAAACATTCGTAAATTTAAAAAATTAAAATATAGAACTGGAAACTCGAGAAACTGAAAAATCTAGAAATTTAAAAATTAAAACATGAAAAAGTTGAAAAATTGAGAAATTGAAATAAAAAACAAAAAACTGAAAATCCAAAAATAAAAAATAGAAAAATCTAGAAGAATTGAAGAACTGAAAAATCGAAACTTTGAGAAGTGGGAAAATCAAAAATAGATTAATTGAGAAATCAGAAAACTGAAAATTTAACGCAAAAATTTGAAAAATTCAAAAATTTAAATACTGAAGAACTGAAAAGTCAAAAAATCGAGAAATCGAAAAAACTAAAATTTAAAACAATGAATAATTAAAATATCGCAAAATTGAAGAATCGATAAATCCAATTCAATTGGAAAAATTGAAAAATTGAAAAATCGGGATATTGAAAAATTGGAAAATCCAGAAATTGAAAAGCTCAAAAGAAAAAAATCGAAAAAGCGAGAAATCCAAAAATCGAAACATCAAAAAATTGAAAAACTGAGACTTCGAGAAATCGAAAAATCGGAGGATCGAGAAATTGAGGAGTCGGAAGCCGAAAAGGAAAGTTAAAAATTGAAAAATAGAGAAATTGAACAATCAAAACAACGAAACATCTGAATTCGATAAATTGAGAAATTAAAAAATTTAATAATCGAAAAATTTTAAAAAAAGAAAAACTCGAAAATCGAAAATTAAAATTCAAAAAATGGAAAAATTGAAAAATTGAAATATAGAAGATTTGAAAACTCGAGATATTGAAAAACCTATAATTTTAAAAAATGAAATATTAAAACATCGAAACGTTGAAAAATTGAGAAATCGAAGCATTAAACAGGCGCAGCATTGAAAAATCTGAAGTTTCCAATAAATTGAAAATCCAAATAGTAAAAAATCGAGAAATCAAAAAAAATCAAAAATAGACAAGCCGAAAAATTAAAATATTGAAAAATCTCATAACTGAAAGTAATATTCAAAAAATTGAGAAATTAAAAATTTGGAGAATTGAGAAATCGAAAATCTAAAAAAGCAAAATTGAAAAATCGTAATCTTAAAAAATCGAAAAATTGAAGAATTGAAGATGTGAAAAATCGAAACTTTAGGAAGTCCAGAAGTGTACAAATAAAAAAATACTTTAGAAATCGGCAAAAAAATTGAAAAATCGAAATATTTAAAAACCGTAAAATTGAAGAGGACAAAAATTGAGAAATCGTATCACTGAAACATCGAAAGATTGAGAAATCGAAAAATAAAAAAATCGAGAAATAGAAAATTTGAGGGGTATTAAGTCCGGACATCTAGGAGGCCATTTTATTGGTGCACGCCTTCCAACATTTGACAAATATTTGTGCATATAAATCTGCTCTTTAATTCATCAGAAAATCCGGCTATTCTAACTCGGAGTCGTAAATAATCTTCAGAAAACTCACCTTTAATCTGTGTAAACTTTTGAATGCTTTCGGATATAATTTAAAAATTCAGTTGCTGAAATTAAAATTTTCGTTGCATTAAAGTTTACAAAATGTTTGTAAAACGTTACTTAGGTGAAAATGTACCACCACAACCAAACGCGCCAACCAAATAAATCCAATTTTAATTTCCACTTCCTGAATCATCGTTATTTAATTTTTTCCTTCCACGATACCATCTTTTAATTAATTTAAAACCATAATTAATCCACTACAGCCGTACCATCCACCATTTAAACTAAAGTAAATTTTTAATCAAGCACAACTATCTAACCCGCCCAGTCAACAAAAATTCCTACTTCCCTTAATTACAGTAATTAAAACAAACCACCCCGAAATTTACAACCCACAATCCATTATTCATAACAAACACTCTTTTAAACCCAACCATCTCCAAAATCGCTCACTTGTACACAAAGATGTACCCCTACTACAGACCCCCAGTCGACCAAATCCTCCACCTCTTCACCTTCAACGGAATCAACCCTCTGAAAAAATCCCTCGCCGCCACTCTCCTAGTCACACTCGAACTCACCTCGATCACCACCACCATGCTGCTGATTTTCACCCAGTTCTTCTACAGCGACTTCTCCATGAAGCTCTTCGTGGACTCCGTCGAATCCCTCTTCACCACGTCCCAGGTAAGAACCCCAACCCCCAAAACGCTAAAACCGCCACACTTTCAGCTCCTAGTCAAGCTCACGACGTTCGTCGTCAAGAAGCGCGAAATCAAAATCCTGCTGGTGCAGATTTCGAGCTTCTGGAGTCTGAGCCAGTTCGACCAGAAGTTCAGACAGGAGTGTTTGGGGCACTTGAAGTATATCAAGTCGACGGTGAAGATGTTCATCGTTCTGTGTGCTAGTGTGATGGTGTTCTTTATGTTTAGTCCGGTGTTTGCAGACAGACTAGCGATTATTTGCTACGTTCCGGAATTCATGCCCAGATGGGTTTTCGTGGTTTATAATAGCTGGGTTTTCGGGTATATTGGTATGGGGGTGGTGGCTTTCGACTCGTTTGTTTGTACCATGATTTTTATGCTGCATTTGCAATATAAGTTGTTGAACGAGAAAATTTGCCTGATGAGGTTGGAGGAGGTGCGAAACGTGGATGACGAGAGGGTGTGTTTGCAGGATTTGAGGAGTATAATACAGTATCACAATTTTCTCTGGGGGTAGAGATTTTGTTACGCAATGTACGACTGTTATTTTTATTTATAGTTTCATTTTTTAGATTTTTAAAACAGCTGAATTCGATTTTAGGGATCACCTCTTTTATACAGTTCATCCTGTATATAATTTCGATGTGTTTTGAAATGTATTTGGTGTCTAAAGGGTGCGAGTATTTTTTTTTTTTGATTGATTTAAATATAACTGTCTTGGTTTTTAGGTCTGTGAATCTGGAAAGTCTCAAGTCGTTGTTTTATATAACAACGCTTTCGTTTGAAATGATGCTGTGCTTTTGCATTCCTTCTACTTATTTGACGTCTGAGGTGAGCAGCTTCAAACTTAGAACACAGTTTCGGAATTAAATAATTATAATAATTGCCTAGTGTTTACTAACCTAAAAAAAATGCTTTTTAGACGTGTCCAAGAAATTTATAAAATATCTCTAATAATAATCTAAATGTTCATTATTTTTACTTCCTGAGTGTGAATTACTGCTTTTATTTTATGGCAACGTTTCATGGCCCCTAGAATACGAAAATAGTGGTCTCCCATTTCGCATTGGTCGTCTCTAGCAGTCTGTCTGTCTGTCATCTGTAGCAAATAGGTTTCAATTTTTTTTAAATAACATTCTTCTATTCTACAAATCTAGTTTATGAAACCGTACTGGATTTTCAGCCGAGACATCCATATTTTTGGAAAAAAAAATGAAAATTGTATAAATAATATCTTTCAATTTAATCGAATGGTCTAAAATCTTGCAGGCGCTTTAAACTTACCGCATACACCGTAGATTTTAAACAAATATCATCGCATTCATATTTTTTAGAATTGTTTATACAGGCTGACTCAAAAAAAAAATTAATGAGTCAATATATTTTATTGATTAAATCAGGAATGGTTCAAACCATTTTCCTGAAAATTGGGGAGTACACTACCTTTACTTTAAGACTTCATATATAACTTTATTTTAACTTCTAGAGGTTATCACAAACAAAAATAAAACTCCCAAAACTGAATCTTATAATTTTTATAGAAACCTGGATTTGTTGTTTTATAATTTTTTAATTTTGTAATTTCGCAATATTTTGATTTTTCAGTTTTATAATTTTACAATTTTTCAGTTTCTTAGTTGTTTTTAAGAACCAATTTTTCAATTATCAGGTTTTCCATTTTCTCGATTTTTCATTTTTCAAGTAATCTGATATTAGAATTTTAAACTTTTTTCGATATCAAAATTTTTAGATTTTACAATTTCTTGATTCTTCAACTTAATGATGTTTCAATTTTACGATTTTGCAATTTTTCATTTATACAGTTTAATAGTTTTTCGATTTTACAATCATCCAATTTTTCAATTTTTTAATTTTATAAATTTTCAATTTTTTTTCAGTTTTAATTTTCATTTTTCAAAAATTGCAGAATTGAATTTTTAGTGAATCTGTTTTTCAATCTTTGACTTTTCTATTATCAGATTTTCAAATTTATCGATTCTTCAATTGGTCAGTTTTGGAATTCTTGTATTTTTAAATTTTTCGGTTTTTCATTTTTGTAGTTTGAACAATTTTCGAATTTACAATTATCCAATCTTTTAATTTTGTAATTTCACAATTTTTTAATTTTTTGTTTTTTAATTATTCAAAATTTCAAATATAATTTTTCAGGTTTTTGATTTTTCAATTTAATTTTTTTACAATTTTTCGTTTTTAAAAGTATCCAATTTTCGAAATTTTCGGTTCAAACACTTTTTTGATTTTTCAATTTTACATTTTTAATATTTTCGAATGTGTCAAATAGTTTTTCAGTTTTTGATTTTTCAGTTCTCCGAATTTCATTGTTTCGCTTTGCCAATTTTTTGATTTTTAATTTTGCAAAATTTCGCTTTCCAATTTTTCAACTTTTTACAGTTTTTCGATTTCACATTTGTCCACTTCTTATTGAATCCATTTTTCAATTATCAGATTTTCCAATTTACCGAGTTTTCAATTTTTCGGTTTTGGAATCCTTAGCTTTTTTATTTTTTCGATTTTTTATTTTTACACTTTAATGAATTGTCGAATTTACAATTATTCAAATTTTCAAATTTGTAATATTAGTTTTTCATTTTTTTATTTTTAATTGTTCAAAATTTTAATTTCAATTTTACAGGTTTTGGATTTTTCAATTTTATAATTTTTGGTTGTGTTAATTATTCGATTTTTTTTTTTTTTTGTTAAACTATATCTTAATTTCAATTTTTAAATTCTCTGTTTTTAACATTTTTCGTTTTTTCAATAATTCAATTTTTGATTTTTCAATTATCCGAATTTCATCGTTTCGATTTACCAATATTTTAATTTTGCAAAATTTGGATTTTCAAATTTTTGATTTTTTAATTTTATTATTTTACAATTTTTCGATTTTTTATTTTTGTAATTTGTCGATTTTAAAATTGTTCGATTTTCAGTTTTATTTTTCTGAAATTTTTCGGAATTACAGTTTAATAATTTTCCGAATTTACAATTATCCAATTTTTCCATTTTTGTAATTTTGCAATTTTTTTATTTTTAAGTTTGTATTTTTAGTTTTTCAATTTCTCATTTATATCTACAATTTTGAATTTAATCAGTTTTTCAGTTTGGGATTTTTTAATTAACAGAATTTCCAATTTCCCGAGTTTCTAATTTTTCTGTTTCGGAAGAATCCTTGGATTCTTAATTTTTCGATTTTTCATTTTCCAGTTGTTTTAATTTAACAGTTTTGGCAGTTTTTCATTTTTACAGTTTAATATATAGAATTTACAATTATCCAATTGTTGAATTTTGTGATTTTACAATTTTTTAATTTTTTGATTTTTATTTCAAAATTCTAATTGTAATTTTTCAGGTTTTTATTTTACAATTTTTCGTCTTTGAAAGTCTCCGATTTTTGAATTTTTCATTTTAAGATGTGTCAATTCTTCGGTTTTTAATTAATCAATTTCTCAATTTTCAGTTTTCTAATTCTTGTTTTTAAAATTTTTCGCATTTTTAATTTTTGAATTTTTGATTTTTCAGTTATCCGAATTTCATTGTTTCGATTTTTAATTTTGCAAAATTTCGATTTCCAATTCTTCCATTTTAAAATTTTCTAATTTCTTGATTTTAACGTTGTTCGAATTTCAAATTTATATTTTTTGATTTTTAAGTTTTATATTTTTACAGTTTTTCAATGTCTCATTTGTCCACTTTTTAATGAATCAATTTTTCAATTTTTGATTTTCAATTTTCCAAAATTTCGATTTTGATTTTTTCGAGTTTTTGATTTTTCAATTTTTCTATTTTAAAGTGATTCGCTTTTCACTTTTATATTGCTGCAATTTTTCCGACTTTAAATTTAATAATTTTTCGATTTTACAATTATCCAATTTTTCATTTTTGTAATTGAATCAGTTTCATACTTTTTGGGTTCATCAATTACGTATCAGATTTTCCAATTTCCCAAGTTTTCAGTTTTTCGGTTTTGGAATCCCTGGATTTTTCATTTTTTCGATTTTTCATTCTTTAATTGTCAGATTTTTTGATTTAACAGGTTTTGTAATTTTTCAATTTTACAGTTTCATAATTTTTCGATTTCGATTTTTTTGATTCAAATTTTGAATAATTTTAAGTTTTCAGGTTTTTGATTTTTCAGTTTAGTTATTTTACAATTTATTAAATTTTAAAATTCTTGTTTTTAAAATTTTGATTTGCTAATATTTTGATTTTTGACTTTGCAAAATTTGGCGTTTCAATTTTTCAAGTTTTTGATTTTTCACTTTTATTATTTCGCAATTTTAAGTTTTATATTTTTACAGTTTTTCGATTTCTCCTTTGTCCAGTTTTTAATGAAACAGTTCTTCAAGTTTTAATTTTTCAATTGTGAGATTTTCCAATTTTCCAAATTTTCAATTTTTTGGATATTTGAAAATTGGGGATATTTTTTTTTCAATTTTTCATTTTTCAGTTTGTTTTTCATTTATAATCTTTTAATTTTTTAATTTCTAATTCTCCAAATTTCAGTTTTAATTTTTCAAATTATTGATTTTTCAATTTAAATTTAAAATAGCTGATTTTCGAATTTTTCTATTTTACTCATTTTTGATTATTCAATTTTTTGAACTTTTGGATGTGTCAGTTAATCAGTTTTTAATCAAGCAATTTCTCATTTTTGAATTTTAAAATTCCCTGTTTTTAAAATTTTTCGTTTCTTTAAAAATTCAATTTTCAATTTTTTATTTTTCAGGTGCCTAAATGACATTGTTTCGATTTACCAATTATTTGATTTTTAATTTTCCAAAATTTCGATTTTAAATTTTTCGAGTTTTTGATTTTTCGATTTTAAAATTATTCGATTTTCAGTTTTATACTTTTGCAGATTTTTCCGATACAGGTTAATAATTTTTCAATTTTACTACCATCCAATTTTTCAACTTTGTAGTTTTTTTAAATTTTTTGATTTTTAAGTTTTCAAAATTTCGAGTTTCAATTTTTCAAGTTTTTGATTTTTAAATTTTGTTTTTGTAATTTTGTAATTTATTGAGTTTTAAGTTTTTTATTTTTAGAGTTTTTCGATTTCTCCATGTCCACTTTTTGATGAAACAGCTCTTCAAGTTTTGATTTTTAAATTATCACATTTTCCAATTTTGTGAGTTTTCAATTTTTTGGTTATTTGGAATTCTTGGATATTTTTTCAATTTTTCATTTTTCAATTGACCAATCGTTTAATTTAAAAATTTTTGCAATTATTCATTTTTACAGATTAATAAATTTTCGAATTTATAATCTTTTAATTTTTTAGTTTCTAATTCTCCAAAATTTCAGTTTTAATTTTTCAAGTTATTGATTTTTCAATTTAAATTTAAAATAGCTGATTTTCGAATTTTTCTATTTTACTCATTTTTGATTATTCAATTTTTTGAACTTTTGGATGTGTCAGTTAATCAGTTTTTAATCAAGCAATTTCTCATTTTTGAATTTTAAAATTCCCTGTTTTTAAAATTTTTCGTTTCTTTAAAAATTCAATTTTCAATTTTTTATTTTTCAGGTGCCTAAATGACATTGTTTCGATTTACCAATTATTTGATTTTTAATTTTCCAAAATTTCGATTTTTAATTTTACGAGTTTTTGATTTTTCGATTTTAAAATTATTCGATTTTCTGTTTCATACTTTTGCAGATTTTTCCGATACAGTTTAATAATTTTTCAATTTTACTACCATCCAATTTTTCAACTTTGTAGTTTTTTGAAATTTTTTGATTTTTAATTTTTCAAAATTTCGAGTTTCAATTTTTCAAGGTTTTGATTTTTAAATTTTGTTTTTGTAATTTTGTAATTTATTGAGTTTTAAGTTTTTTATTGTTACAGTTTTTTGATTTCTCCATGTCCACTTTTTGATGAAACAGCTCTTCAAGTTTTGATTTTTAAATTATCAGATTTTCCAATTTTGTGAGTTTTCAATTTTTTGGTTATTTGGAATTCTTGGATATTTTTTCAATTTTTCATTTTTCAATTGACCAATCGTTTAATTTAAAAATTTTTGCAATTATTCATTTTTACAGATTAATAAATTTTCGAATTTACAATCTTTTAATTTTTTAGTTTCTAATTCTCCAAAATTTCAGTTTTAATTTTTCAAGTTATTGATTTTTCAATTTAAATTTAAAAGTAGCTGATTTTCGAATTTTTCTATTTTACTCTTTTTTGATTATTCAATTTTTTGAACTTTTGGATTGTCAGTTAATCAGTTTTTATAATCAATCAATTTCTCATTTTTGAATTTTAAAATTCGCTGTTTTTAAAATTTTTCGTTTCTTTAAAAGTTCAATTTTCAATTTTTTATTTTTCAGGTGCCTAAATGATATTGTTTCGATTTACCAATGATTTGATTTTTAATTTTCCAAAATTTCGATTTTAAATTTTTCGAGTTTTTGATTTTTCGATTTTAAAATTATTCGATTTTCTGTTTTATACTTTTGCAGATTTTTCCGATACAGGTTAATAATTTTTCAATTTTAGTACCATCCAATTTTTCAACTTCGTAGTTTTGAAATTTTTTGATTTTTAATTTTTCAAAATTTTGAGTTTCAATTTTTCAGGTTTTTGATTTTTAAATTTTGTTTTTGTATTTTTGTAATTTATTGAGTTTTAAGTTTTTTATTTTTAGAGTTTTTCGATTTCTCTATGTCCACTTTTTGATGAAACAGCTCTTCAAGTTTTGATTTTTAAATTATCACATTTTCCAATTTTGTAAGTTTTCAATTTTTTGGTTATTTGGAATTATTGGATATTTTTTCAATTTTTCATTTTTCAATTGACCAATCGTTTAATTTAAAAATTTTTGCAATTATTCATTTTTACAGTTTAATAAATTTTCGAATTTACAATGTTTTCATTTTTTAGTTTCTAATTCTCCAAAATTTCAGTTTTAATTTTTCAAGTTATTGATTTTTCAATTTAAATTTAAAAGTAGCTCATTTTCGAATTTTTCTATTTTACTCTTTTTTGATTATTCAATTTTTTGAACTTTTGGATTGTTAGTTAATCAGTTCTTAATCAATCAGTTTCTCATTTTTGAATTTTAAAATTCCCTGTTTTTAAAATTTTTCGTTTCTTTAAAAATTCAATTTTCAATTTTTTATTTTTCAAGTGCCTAAATGTCATTGTTTCGATTTACCAATTATTTGATTTTTAATTTTCCAAAATTTCGATTTTACATTTTTCGAGTTTTTGATTTTTCGATTTTAAAATTATTCCATTTTCTGTTTTAAACTTTTGCAGATTTTTCCGATTCAGGTTAATAATTTTTCAATTTTACTACCATCCAATTTTTCAACTTTGTAGTTTTTTGAAATCTTTTGATTTTTAATTTTTCAAAATTTCGAGTTCCAATTTTTCAAGTTTTTGATTTTTAAATTTTGTTTTTGTAATTTTGTAATTTATTGAGTTTTAAGTTTTTTATTTTTACAGTTTTTCGATTTCTCCATGTCCACTTTTTGATGAAACAGCTCTTCAAGTTTTGATTTTTAGATTATCAGTTTTTCCAATTTTGTGAGTTTTCAATTTTTTGGTTATTTGGAATTCTTGGATATTTTTTCAATTTTTCATTTTTCAATTGACCAATCGTTTAATTTAAAAATTTTTGCAATTATTCATTTTTACAGATTAATAAATTTTCGAATTTACAATCTTTTAATTTTTTAGTTTCTAATTCTCCAAAATTTCAGTTTTAATTTTTCAAGTTATTGATTTTTCAATTTAAATTTAAAAGTAGCTGATTTTCGAATTTTTCTATTTTACTCTTTTTTGATTATTCAATTTTTTGAACTTTTGGATTGTCAGTTAATCAGTTTTTATAATCAATCAATTTCTCATTTTTGAATTTTAAAATTCGCTGTTTTTAAAATTTTTCGTTTCTTTAAAAGTTCAATTTTCAATTTTTTATTTTTCAGGTGCCTAAATGATATTGTTTCGATTTACCAATGATTTGATTTTTAATTTTCCAAAATTTCGATTTTAAATTTTTCGAGTTTTTGATTTTTCGATTTTAAAATTATTCGATTTTCTGTTTTATACTTTTGCAGATTTTTCCGATACAGGTTAATAATTTTTCAATTTTACTAAAATCCAATTTTTCAACTTTGTAGTTTTTTGAAATTTTTTGATTTTTAAGTTTTCAAAATTTCGAGTTTCAATTTTTCAAGTTTTTGATTTTTAAATTTTGTTTTTGTAATTTTGTAATTTATTGAGTTTTAAGTTTTTTATTTTTAGAGTTTTTCGATTTCTCCATGTCCACTTTTTGATGAAACAGCTCTTCAAGTTTTGATTTTTAAATTATCACATTTTCCAATTTTGTGAGTTTTCAATTTTTTGGTTATTTGGAATTCTTGGATATTTTTTCAATTTTTCATTTTTCAATTGACCAATCGTTTAATTTAAAAATTTTTGCAATTATTCATTTTTACAGTTTAATAAATTTTCGAATTTACAATGTTTTAATTTTTTAGTTTCTAATTCTCCAAAATTTCAGTTTTAATTTTTCAAGTTATTGATTTTTCAATTTAAATTTAAAAGTAGCTGATTTTCGAATTTTTCTATATTACTCTTTTTTGATTATTCAATTTTTTGAACTTTTGGATTGTCAGTTAATCAGTTTTTAATCAATCAGTTTCTCATTTTTGAATTTTAAAATTCCCTGTTTTTAAAATTTTTCGTTTCTTTAAAAATTCAATTTTCAATTTTTTGTTTTTCAAGTGCCTAAATGTCATTGTTTCGATTTACCAATTATTTGATTTTTAATTTTCCAAAATTTCGATTTTAAATTTTCCGAGTTTTTGATTTTTCGATTTTAAAATTATTGGATTTTCTGTTTTATAGTTTTGCAGATTTTTCCGACACAGTTTAATAATTTTTCAATTTTACGACCATCCAATTTTTCAACTTCGTATTTTTGAAATTTTTGGATTTTTTCAAAATTTCGAGTTTCAATTTTTCAAGTTTTTGATTTTTAAATTCTGTTTTTGATATTTTGTAATTAATTAAGTTTTAAGTTTTTTATTTTTTGCAATTATTATTCATTTTTACAGTTTAATAAATTTTCGAATTTACAATCTTTTAATTTTTTATTTTTTAATTGTCCAAAATTTCAGTTTTAATTTTTCAATTTATTGATTTTTCAATTTAAATTTAAAAGCACCTGATTTTCGAATTTTTCTATTTTACACTTTTTTGAGCTTTTGGATGTGTCAATCAATCAGTTTTTAATTAATCAATTTCTCAGATTTCAATTTTAAAATTCCCTGTTTTTAAAATTTTTCACTTTTGTAATTTTGCAATTTTGAATTTTCAATTTTATATTTTTACAGTTTTTCGATTTCCAATTATTCGGTTTTTAAAAAATCAATTTTCAATTATTCAGTTATGAGATTTTCCAATTTTTCATAGTTTTTAGTTTATTATTGGAGTCTCCAAATTTCTCTATTTTTCAACTTCTCGGTCGTAGACAAACAAAAAAATAATAATAATAAAAATAATTTTTGAGGTATTTTATTTTGTCATTTTTGTTATGAAATTTCTAATTTGAAGTTTTTTGTACTACCAACTTACCACTATAAAAATAAGCCCTAGAGGAGTTTCATTTGGTACCAACTTAATTCCACAGATGGTGTTTTTTTTTAAACTGTCAATTTGTAACATTTACAGGCATCCAAAACTCTCCAAGTTACCTACGATACCAAATGGTACGAATGTAGGTCGACTTCGATCCAGAAGAACATCGTCATAATGATGCTCAAAGGACAACAAAAAGCTGCTTTATGGGCTGGCAACATGTTTGTATTCAATTTAGAAACAGCAACTGAAGTAAACCAAAATTTAAATTTCCATTTCTTGCTTATTTTAGTGTAATTTTCAGGCATTTAAAAAAACACTCTCATTTTACACATGCTTGAAAACGATAGGAGAAACTACTTAACCGAAGAAAAGTACTCAAAATCGTACTTCGTGGTACTGGAAAATTTATTGTCACAGCTGTCTCTAAGGAAATAATAAATAATGAAGTGCACTGCAACTGTAGTTTTTTTTTATTTAAGCATCAACCACGAATCACACAATCAGACGTGAAAACCCTAGGAACAAACACCTGCCCCCACGTCTGGTTTTCAACAGGATCGTGCAACTGCGCATACAACTCAAAACTATACAAAACAAAATTACAAGTACATAAAAACATCGTCCCACACCAAAAAAATACATTAAAAATCATCCCCTTTGGTGCTTGAAAAAAAGTCTGCGGCAAAACCAAAACCATAAAAACGACATACATAAAGGGCATAAACCCACCCACACAACAAAACGCCACCCACTCGTGTACCACAAACGACACCAAGAAGACCATGACTTTTCCCGCAGATTTGTTACCCCACACGTATTCCTTGAAATCGCAGTAGACGTAATAGTACAACCAATCCTGGACGAGCCTGTTCCACCTAGCCAAAGCAGTGCTGAAATTGCAAGAGTTCCACCAATCCAGGTAGAACAAGCGATCTCCAAAGCGGGTTAGCTCGGCGAAGAGGTTTTGGACCGAGTGGAAGATCAATATGCAAAAACTGCCCAAAATTAGGGCGCCGTATGGCATGTTTTCCAAAATCAGGAGCAATGTCTCGCTTATGGTAAATTTTTTACGCCAGCGGTCGGGGGTTGGGTACATGTTTATGATGATGAAGGCCAGGATGAAGACCATGCTGATGCATTCGACGAGGCGCTGGACGACGAATTTCCAGTTGATGGTGGCGGTTCGGGGGTAGTTGTCGCGGTAGATGAGGGTGGGGGCGAAGAGGAAGTACAAGAAGTTGGAAAATTTAAGGGCGGGGGGTGGAGTGGTGGCGCTGTTTCGGATGAAGGAGTGGACTTTCATCAGAAGTCTGATCTGAAAAAGAAATTTTTGGTTATATCCACCAACAAATTGGTGACGTCATTTCAACATTTTTAAATTACTTTGCTCTTGAGTTGTACTACAGAAATCAAAATTTTGCAAAGAAATTTGAAAATCTATCTTCGGAACTTCAAAATCGACAAAATTGTACCAACAATTTTTCAAATTAGATGTTAGAAACTGCTAATGCATATACAGATTTATTATTATTTTTAAAGATTAAAAGTCTTTGTTTTCAAAAATTTCAAATAAGTAGTATTGGAGCCTCTGATGTTTAGTTTTTGAAAGAGCATCTGGAGAATTTTGGTATTTTGTTTTGAGAAATTCCTGGTATATAATTTTTAAGTGAAATTAAAAGAGTCTCCGAGGCCACTGGTGTTTTTTTTCCGAAAAAATTTGTACAATTTAGAGGTTCCTGTTTTTTTTTAAGAATCTTGAAGAACCTTGGAACCAATGGTGTCTTTATTTTTAAGAATTTAAAAGTATCTGATTTTCGAATTTTTTATTTTTATTTTACACTTTTTTGATTATTCAATTTTACATTTTTTGTACTTTTGGATGTGTCAATCAATCAGTTTTTAATTAATCAATTTCTCAGATTAGAATTTTTTAATTCTCTGTTATTAGAATGTTTCGTTTTTTCAATTATTCAATTTTTAATTTTTCAGTTATCCAAATTTCACTGATTCGATTTGCCAATTCTTTGATTTTTAATTTTCCAAAATTTCGATTTTGAATTTTTTGAGTTTTTAATTTTTCAATTTTCCGATTTTAAAATTATTCGCTTTTCAGTTTTATATTGCTGCAATTTTTCCGACTTACAGTTTAATAATTTTTTGATTTTACAATTATCCAATTTTTCATTTTTGTGATTTTGCAGTTTTCTCGTGTTTTAAGCTTTATATTTTTACAGTGTTTCGATTTCTCATTTGTCCACTTTTTAATGAATCAGTTTTATATTTTTTAATTTTTCAATTATCAGATTTTCCAATTTCCCAAGTTTTCAATTTTTGGGGTTTGGAATCCTTGGATTTATTTTTTAGATTTTTCATTTTTCAATTGTCAGATTTTTTAATTTTGCAGTTTTTGCAATTTTTCATTTTACAGTTTCATAATTGTTTTGTTTATTAATTCAAATTTATACTTTCTGATTTTTCAGTTTAAAAATTTTACAATTCTTCGTATTTAAAGATTAAAAGTCTTTCTTTTCAAAAATTTCAAATAAGTAGTATTGGAGCCTCTGATGTTTAGTTTTTGAAAGAGCACTTGGAGAACTTTGGTATTTTGTTTTGAGAAACTCCTGGTATATAATTTTTAAGTGAAATTAAAAGAGTCTCCGAGGCCACTGGTGTTTTTTTTCCGAAAAAATTTGTACAATTTAGAGATTCCTACTTTTTTTTTTAAGAATTTTGAAGAACTTTGGAACCAATGGTGTCTTTATTTTTAAGAATTTAAAAGTATCTGATTTTCGAATTTTTTATTTTTATTTTACACTTTTTTGATTATTCAATTTTACATTTTTTGTACTTTTGGATGTATCAATCAATCAGTTTTTAATTAATCAATTTCTCAGATTAGAATTTTTTAATTCTCTGTTATTAAAATGTTTCGTTTTTTCAATTATTCAATTTTTAATTTTTCAGTTATCCAAATTTCACTGATTCGATTTGCCAATTCTTTGATTTTTAATTTTCCAAAATTTCGATTTTGAATTTTTTGAGTTTTTAATTTTTCAATTTTCCGATTTTAAAATTATTCGCTTTTCAGTTTTATATTGCTGCAATTTTTCCGACTTACAGTTTAATAATTTTTTGATTTTACAATTATTCCATTTTTCATCTTTGTGATTTTGCAGTTTTTCGTGTTTTAAGCTTTATATTTTTAGTGTTTCGATTTCTCATTTGTCCACTTTTTAATGAATCAGTTTTATATTTTTTAATTTTTCAATTATCAGATTTTCCAATTTCCCAAGTTTTCAATTTTTGGGCTTTGGAATCCTTGGATTCATTTGTTCGATTTTTCATTTTTCAATTGTCAAATTTTTTAAATTAGCAGTTTTTGCAATTTTTCATTTTACAGTTTCATAATTGTTTTGTTTATTAATTCAAAATCATACTTTCTGATTTTTCAGTTTAAATATTTTACAATTCCTCGTATTTAAAGATTAAAATCATCAGAAGTCGGATCTGAAATAGAAATTTTTGGTTATATCCACCAACAAATTGGTGACGTCATTTGAACATTTTTAAATTACTTTGCTCTTGAGTTGTACTACAGAAATCAAAATTTTGCAAAGAAATTTGAAAATCTATCTTCGGAACTTCAAAATCGACAAAATTGTACCAAAAATTTTTCAAATTAGATGTTAGAAACTGCTAATGCATATACAGATTTATTATTAATAGGGCCCTAGTGGTTTTTTTTTAATTTCAGAAAACCTTCGAGTCCCCAGAGTCTTATTTTAAGAATATTAAAGAATTTTGAAACTGAAGGTCTTTTGATTTTGAAAAAATTAAAAGAATCTTGAGGGCTGCTCATGTTTCATTTTTCAGGAAATCCTAGTATCCTTATTTGGAATTTATAAGAATTTTCGACTCCCCAGAATTTTTTTATCTTAGAGAATTTTGAGACCCCATTGAAAGATTTTAAAAGAATCTTAAGCGACCTTGATATTTAATTTTTGAATTTTTGAAGTTCTGGTGTTTTTTTTTTTTTAAGAAAATTTTTTGGCTGGGAAGTTTTTTTTTAAATAATTCTAAAGAATCTTAGGGGGCTATTGATGTTTTATTTTTGAAGAAATCTGAAAAAATGCTGAGGTCCTTGGTGTTTTTTTTTTGTTAGAAGTTGAAAGAATCTTGAAGACTATAATATTTTTTTTAAGAATTTAAAAGAACCTTGGGCTCCTCAGTCACTTTTTTATCTAAATGAATTTGAGACCGCGGAGTATTGTTTTTAAAAGATCCTTGGAAGTCGGTATTGTTTAATTTTTAAGAAAGTTGAAAGAATCTTACGATTTCCACTGTTTTTTTAGACTGTAAAATAATCTTAGATTCCCAGTATCTTTCTTTAAGAATCTAAAAGAATCCTGGCTCAGCGGATATTTTCTTTTTGAAATAAATTAAAAGAATTTTGCGGTCCTTGGTGTTTTTTTTTTTTTAGAATTTAAAAGAATATTGGAGTTTTCAGTGTCTATTTTTAAGAATCTAAAAGAATCCTGAAGTCGCGGGTGTTTTGTTTTTTAAAGAATTTAGAAGAATATTGAGGTCCCTAGTGTTTTTTTGGAGTCCACAGTGTCTTTTAAGAATGTAAAAGAAACTTGGAGTATTTAATCTTTTTTTTTGAAAGAGAATAATAAAACTTGGTATTTGTTTTTGAAAAATTTGAAATAATTTTGAGGGCGCTTGTGTTTTGTTTTTGAATGAGGTTAAAAGAAACTTCGGAGCCTTAATGATTCGTTTTTGAAAAAAGTTGAAAAAATTTTGAGATCCCCATATTTTTTTAAGAATTTAAAAGAACATTGGGGCCCTTGGTGTTGGTTTTGTTTTTGAAAGAGCACGTGGAAAACTTTAGTATTTTGTTTTGAGAAGTTTTTTTAACAAATTAAAAAAATTTTGGGGTTCCTAGTTTTTTTTTTATTAAAAAAAATCTTGGAGTTTTCAGTATCTCTTTTTAAGAAGCTAAAAGAATCTTGAAAACGTGGGTGTTTTGTTTTTGAAAGAATTTAGAAGAATCTTTGGGGCTCGTAATCTTTCATTTCTGAAGCAATTTGAAAGAGTCCCGAGGTCCCTAATGTCTTTTTTGGAATTTAAAAGAATCTTCAAGTCCCCAATGTGTAAAAGAATATAAAAGAATCTTGAAGCCGCAGGTGTTTCGTTTTCGAAAGAATTTAAAAGAATCTTGGGATTCCTAGTGTCTTTTTATAGAATCTGAAAGAATCTTGGACTTCTCAGTGTCTTTTAAAGAATGTAAAAGAATCTTAAAGGTCCATGATGGTTCATTTTGAAAAAAATTGAAATAATCTTGAGGTACCTAGCGTTCTTTTTTTAAATTAAAAAAAAAAATGCCCAGTGTCTGCTTTCAAGATTCCCAAAAACTATCCAGATCGCGGGCATTTTATAAAGGAAATTGAAAGAATCTTGAGGGCCCTTGATGCGTCTTTTTTGGAGAAAGTTGAAAGAATCTTGAGGACCCTAGTATCCTTATTTGGAATTTATAAGAATTTTCGTCTTCCCAGGTTTTTTTTATCTAAGAAAATTTTCAGGCCCCAGGTGTTTTGTTTTCGAAAGATTTTAAAAGAATCTTGAGTTCTCTGGTGTTTTTTTTTAATTTAAAAGAATTTTTTGGCTGCGAGGGTTTTTTTTTGAATTGTAAAGAATCTTAGGGAGCTTTTGATGTTTTATTTTTGAAGAAATCTGAAAAAATCCTGAGGTCCTTAGTGTTTTTTTTTTATTGTTAGAATTTACAATCATTCTGGAGTTCCCAGTGTTCTTTTTTAAGAATATAAAAGAATCTTGGGGCCTCTGAGGTCTTATTTTTGAAGAAAGTTGAAAGAATCTTGAGGAGTATAATATTTTTTTTAAGAATTTAAAAAAACCTTAAGTTCCCCAGTGACTTTTTTTTATCTAAAAGAATTTGAAACTGCGGAGTATTTTTTTTAAAGAATCTTGGAAACCGGTAATGTTTAATTTTTGAAGAAAGTTGAAAGAATCTTCCGACTGTTTTTTTAGACTGTAAAGTAATCTTAGAGTCCCAGTGTCTTTCTATAAGAACCTTAAAGAATCCTGACCCAGCGGATATTTCCTTTTTGAAAGAAATTAAATGAATTTTGCGGTCCTTGGTGTTTTTTTTAGGATTTAAAAGAATATTGGAGTTTTCAGTGTCTACTTTTAAGAATCAAAAAGAATCTTGAGCACGCGGGTGTTTTGTTTTTTAAAGAATTCAGAAAAATCTTGAGGTCCCTAGTGTTTTTTCTTAGAATCTTGGAGTCCACAGTG